CATGGGTGGACATCTACGAGCCCCGTGGAGCAACCCCGACCAGGAGAGCAGTGATCGGGTCGATTTGACACCCCCAGTGGGTCTTCACGCTTCTTCCACTCTCCAGAGCCAGATCTTGAATTCCCTGCCAATCTCAGTATTGTCACACTGGCCACCGAATCTGAGTCACACTCGTTCATCTGACAAAGTGGAGAAACCGAGACCCAGAGAGGGTGTACGTGTTATATCATTGGGCACAACTCTTCATTCCATTTCATTTAACTTTGTAAGTCATCCTGTGAGGGCCTGGGAGTGCCAAAGCAGACAGAGGGAGTGGCAGAATCGGTCCCATAATAAATTGGTGAAAGTTGTAAACTGGCGAAAGTTGGAGGAATTAGGGGCAGCTACCTCTCAGGCCAGCTGTGAAGGAGTTGCTTTAACTCCCTGTGCATTCTTTCCTGAGACGCTTTGCCCCCTTTTGCCTCTTCCTCCGCCTCTCCAGCGAAAAACGAGTCCTCACTTTTCTTCCTGCTGCTCAGGACCTCATCCATTTTTACCCCCTTGATCCCTTTGGAGGAACACTGTTCGGTACTCTAAACTTGTTTTTCTTTTTTGAGGGACTTTTTCTGCAGATGAAGCTTTATGGAAAGATTAGAAACATAGAGTGGGGCTGCCCAGCTTGGAACACGTGTGGGAAATGGGAGCCCCGCCTGGTTGGTTTCCTCCTCATCCCTCTTGCCAAATGATCTAGAAGCTCAGAGGAACAGAATTTTAAACCCACCCCCCCAGTCTATTTTATCATTAGCCTTCTTTTGGTCAAAATTGGCCAATCTTTTTTTTTTTAATTTTAGAGAAGTTATTTATTATCATCAAGGTCACAAAATTTGGCAGTCTGGAATCTCATCATTCTTGGGCCATGTAGGTGGCAAAGAGTTCATGCTCTCAGGTTATCCATTTGTCAATTTATTCAGAATAGTATAATAGTGGTAGTTAAATATGAATGGGGATCCTACCTAGAATGTTTGTGCTTTAACTGAGACCTCATGAAAACGGTACCTCAAACTGAAGAAATTGTTTCATTTGTGCAAATTTCAGGTGCTAGACTATCTTTGTAGGATCTGTTTCTAGAGACTTGAATGAGTGGTTACTTCACTTATGGGTGGGGCCCATACTAATAGTTCAATCTTTTTATAAAAGCTGCTTTTCAGGTGTAGTGAAAAATGACATAATGAAATAGACAAGCTCCTTTCTTTATCTGAGACTCTTCTCTCCCTGGGTTAATAGGAAATCATACTTTGAAGATGACAACAGCCTAGATTTCAGACAGTAACAGGGCAATTCTGTTTGCTCTTGGTCCTGTGTCTCTGGGCACTTAGATCTCTCTGTACAGATGTTTTGTTGCCAAATGCTCTATGCACCTTATAGATGACTCTCTAATTTCTCAAAATAATGTCAATAGACGCCACTATCCCTTGCTCATCTAGAAGCTCCCATGCCCACCACTGTTTTGCTTCCCCTCAGGTAACTCCCTCAGAGTCCACAAGGGGGCAGGACATACCATCGTGCACAGTTGTCTGCATTTCCTTCTATTTGGGGGAAAAAAATCTAACCATGAAAAGAATGCCTGATAAGCTGCTAAAGATACCTACACCAGACCCTCTCATTTCAGCTCAAGGACCTCTGGCCCTTTTTGTTCTTCATAGATGAAAAGGCCGAAGAAATTACAAGAGACTCTCAGCCTGGGCTGAAAAATTCTACAGCATTATTTCAAATTCTTAAAACGTTCTGAGAAGACCCAAGGGCAGATTTTGACTAGTAGTTTGCTCACATAAGTTTATTTTTACCACGCAGACATACATACGCACAGCAAAGGCCTTGAAGTGGCTTTGTTAACGTTGGGGTGGATTCCTATTTGAAACATATCCATGAGGGAGGAAGAGGTATGGCCTTGCACATTACTGGGGGTCATTGTCACAATATGTGAAATATAAAAAGCTTTCAGTTTAGGGAAAGCATTGGATTAAGAGTCAGAAAGAATTGTCTCCTAGTCCTGAGTAGATTTCTGACTGTCTTGCGACCCTGGGCCCTATCCACTGAGTTTGTCCATCTGCTCAGCTGTGTAATGAACACAGCAGATTTTTCAGGCAAAGGAGAGCCAGTGCTTTCCTTGCCTGGACTTGAGACTGGTAGCAATGAAGGAGGAGAATATCTGGCTCAGGGGAGTCCCCGTGGTGGGTGGACAGAGCAAGTCCTTTGTGGTCCTTGTCCCAGGGTCGTTTGTTCTTACAAATGGCTCCCTGCAGTGTGTAGAGAGCCCAAAGCCACAGCAAATAGGCTTATTACTTTGTTTCCTGTTTACTGATAACTTGTGGCAGATAACAATTGCTGTGGGCAAAAGAGAAGAGAGAACACACTGGATTTCAGTTGCAGGCAGGAAATATTCTCATTGGATGGAGGGTCTGAAACCATGAATCACCATTAAGCAGACTCCACACTGATAGAAATGAGAATCCTGATAACACAAACCACAAGTGTTCATTTCCTCTGAGGGAAGGGATGGAGGGAGACCGCATGGAGGAAGCCTTTCCTGGATGACACCGGAGAAGCGGATGTACAGAGCACGCACAGGCCAGGCCAGGGAGGACCACGTGCATGCCAGGGGTGACAGGTAGGCGGAAGGGGAAAGGTTGCTTCTGCAATGAGAAACGAGGAGTCTGGAGTCTGTGGTTTTGCAGAGGTGTGCAGCCCAGTAGAGGGCTGGTGAGGATCCTCAGGGGCAGGAGGGCACAGAGAAGAGACATGGAAGGAAGCGGGCCTGGCAGTCAGACAGAACCAAATGGGAGACATGCTTTGGACAAGGGGAGGACATGACATATCATCTATTTCCGGTTTGTAATCATATGAATGTGATGTGTACATAGAACAGAGAGACAAAATGGAGGCGAACCCATAAAAGCAAAAGCATTTTGATCTGTTGTGGCAGCAAAGACCTGAAAAATCTTTTTGTTCAGTGCCATTTGCTTTCATGTCATGAATTAGTAAAAAGTAAATTATTTTGAAGCACAGAGAGAGGAAGGAAGAAAAGGTTATGGTAAAGCCCCTTTCAGTCTGATGTCTCAGAACTTGGCAATCATGAAATGAAAACTGGGGGACATAGTAGGACTGGGATAGGGCCAGAGGGGGCACCCACAGAGGAGAGCTAGAGAGGAGAGGCCAGTGCAATAGCCCGGTGGCTAAGAGCCCAGACTCTGGAGCCGTGTGACCTTGGGCCTCAGTTTCCCTATCTGTAAAATAGGGATAATACAAACCTTATCTCATAAGATTATTTTGAAGATTAAATGAAATAATTTGTACAAAGGGCTTACAGCACTGCCCAGTACACAAGTTCTCTTGGGTGTTCGCCCTTACCTAGGGGAGGTCAGTGCCCAGACCTTAAGGAAGTTAAGGAATAATTGGGCATAAGATAGAAAACTCCCTTCTCCTGCAGTCAGGTGACTGGTCCCTGCAGGGGAAGAAAAAAGGGTTGAAATAGCAAAAGGGAGAAGGGGGAAGGAAGTGAGAGTGTGGGGAATAGGGAGACTGGAGACACACACACACACACACACACACACACACACGAAACAGTGTTGGGGATCATCTGAGATCCAATAAAACCATAAAAGGAAAAAGGCAAGAATGAAACAGAGACATCGGCCCAGGGGTCGATTCCCTTTTGCTGGAATGAGAAGAGCCCTGGGTCTGGAGTCTGAGCCCTAGACTCCGTCTCTGGCTGCATGTTCTCTTGGCTGAATGTTCTTGGAAAAGTCATGTACCCTCTCTCAGGCCTCGTGTTTTAAATCCGTGAAAGTGAAAATGGGAAGGCCGACCTCACAGAGGGGCTGGGGCGATTAAAGAGAGCATTTTAGGGTTGGTGGCTGTGCACTCGAGCACTCGAGTAAATGTACGGGGAAGCTCGACGTCCACAGCGTTCCGAGGTACGGAGCGCGGCGGCGGCGGGAGAGAAGCAGCCCTCCGCCTCGACTTCCAGCCCTCAGGCCCGGGAATGAGCGAGGCAGTGGGCGGGGAAGACAGGCACGGGGAATCTGGGGACAGATAAAGGAAACTCGTGATGGGGCGAGGCTGGGCTGAAGAGAAACAGATTGGGGACGAGCTGCAAAAGGGAGGGGTCCACTGAAAGGGGAGGGGGAAGGCCGGGGAGAGAGAGGGTGGGAAGGCCGAGAGAGAAGGGAGGGCAGTGTGAGAAGAAAAGCAGGCTGGGGAAAGAGAGGTTGGAATGCAGAAGGAACTTGGGGAAGGAGGAAGTATTGAAGGCGGGAGGGAAAGAGGAGAAGGAAAATGGGGATGCAGTGGAGACGGGGGCCAGGCCGCGAGAGGGAAAAGGACCGGGGAAACAGATGGAGGAGAAAAGAACTGGCCAAAGCCAGCGTCAGAAGAGGTTGGGGACTGCGAGGAGAGAGGCTGGGGCCTGCAGGAGAGCGCAGCAGCTTTTAGCATCCATCCAGACTCTAAAGACTCGTGGCCTTTGCCTGACCTCGAGGGTCGGGAACAGAAGCCCGGGCTTTGTGGAGAGCGGTACCCCACCGAGAGAATGGGGCTGCTCTGGTCTGGGCCCTACGTCTGGCGCGCGGCGAGGCTTCTCTGGCCTTGGGCTGGCCCTTGAGGGGACCGATCGACTGGCCTGGAGGTTGGGGCCGAGGAAGGAAAGTACCACCGCCCGGAGCCGGCGAGCATTCGGCAGCAGAAGTGCCTGCTCCGAGCTGTCTCTGGGGGGCGCCGCTGCCCCCTCCCTCCTCCGGGGCCGCAAGCTCCCAGGAAAGTGGAGGTGGCAGGCAAGGACCGAGAGCCGGCGCAGCGCTGCGGAGGGACCGAGCTTCTACCGGTGTCAGGGGGACTCTGGCGCTGCGGATGCCCCGGCTTCCCCGCCGCCGGGCGCCCTCGCC